GTATCATTATGATGGTATGTGCAATACCATCCATCCATCCATCCATCCATCACAGAGCAGCAAGTGTATCATTATGATGGTATGTGTAATACCATCCATCCATCCATCCATCCATCCATCCAACACAGAGCAGCAAATGCATCATTATGATGGTATGTGCAATACCATCCATCCATCCATCCATCACAGAGCAGCAAATGTATCATTATGATGGTATGTGCAATACCATCCATCCATCCATCCATCCATCCATCCATCCATCCATCCATCCATCCATCCATCCATCCATCCATCCATCCATCCATCCATCCATCCATCCATCCATCCATCCATCCATCAACTTAACCTGCTTCTTCTTTTCAGGTTGCAGGGGTCACTGGTGCCCATATCCAGCTACCACTGTGTGAGAAGCGGGGTACACCCTGGACAGGTCTCCAATCCATCAGGGGACACACAGAGACAAATGAGACAAACAACCATTCACTCTCTCACTCACACCTAGGGACAATTTAGAGTTACCAATCAGTCTAACATGCATGTTTTTGATCTGTGGGAGGAAACTGGAGTACAGTAGATCCTGGTTTGTCGTGAGGGATCTGTACCTCCGTAGCCCTGCGATAAGTGAAAAACCGCAAAATAGGAACAGAATGTCATGATTTCAGCTCTCTGCCTCCAGCTGCACTCTTGGCCACGCCCACTTCTCTGTTCTGCTTGGAGATCAGCTGCTCTCCGTACAGGAGGAAGCTTCTCCCAGGTGCTAAATAATTTAAAATAATTAATTTTAAATAAAAATTCCATGCCGATCGTTTGGCTCATCCATCAATCAGCCAATTGTGTGTCATGTCCAATCTTACTTTGAAAAATCACGATGGAGCGAGTCCACGATAAATGAACCGCAAAGTAGCAAGGGACTACTGTACCCGGAGAAAACCCATGCATGCACTGAGAGAACATGCAAACTCCACCCAGAAAAGCCCCCAGACCGGGATTTGAACCAGGGCAACCTGCTTGCTGAGAGGCGGCAGCTCTACCAACTGTGCCACCGTGCTGCCTGTTTGCCAATCTTACAAAAAAAACCTGCTGCTTATATATTCATACTAAGCCTTTATGGTCCGGGTCCCAGTATCAAGACAACCAGACAGCTCTCACTGCCACTGACATCCACACCAGATTTACTGTGGATAGTGGCCAAAACGGCTACACAAAGAGTGTTGGGATGACAAATGAAAAAAAGAAAAATACCCACTGAAGTGAGGAAAATGTGTGTGTGACACAACTTGGTCATCTCAGTGTTATCACAATTGGATGTTTTTCCTGATATCAAGCAAGCAGCCCTGTTCTTTACTTAAATTAATACGCAAAGAAGATTTTGTATAAATTAAAAGAGCATCAACCATCAGAACTCTAGGAGTCACGTGAATTCCCTTATACTTCCTTGTTGTTGTTGTTGGCTCAGCCTACCTTCAAGTCCATTGATGATGAGTCCGTTGGTCTTTTTGCTCTCTGCCACAGATCTACCGGAGCAACCGTTAATTTGAACACTGCTGCCAATGACCTGCCCAGGCCCTCCTCCACCCTCAGGATACAGGGGGGTGTTAGGTGGGGTCAGAAGGCAGGATGGATCTGGATTTGCTGCTCGTGGATGGTAAACAGTCCCATTCCTTCTGAGGCTGTGTGTTTGTGATTGGCCTAAGGATCTGTCCCGTCCTCTCTCCTCTGATGTGCCTTCGTCCCCGACGCTCCCAGTGCGGGGGCTGCTGTGGGCTGGAGGTAACAACTCCCTCTGTGTTATGATGAGGAAACACTTTAGAAGACAATCTTGTTGGAATAAAGCATGCAATAAATTTCAGTTTAAAACAGTGATTATTCATAATTATAGTATAATTGTCAGTAGATAAAAAACAAAGCTGAAAAGTTTCATTCTAAAAACTCTGAGTACATATATGTATTCCTAGGGTGAATGTATACATTTTAGGGTGCTGCATGCTGGGGATTATGGTCTAGTCAGCTGTCCCCTCTAATTAGACAGCATCAAGTCTAATCAGATTAACCATGATTTAACCATGTCTCGGTTTGTGTGTGTAAGCCGGCGTTGAATGGGAGTAGAAGGTTTTGTATTTTAGTTATGGGATTATGAAGAACTTCTCCAAAACCAAAGCAGTAATCCATGACCGGGATTACTGCTGGGCTCATGTATGTGTGAATCGTTCTGACCTGAACATCCGGCCAGTCAGCCGTGTTGGTTCCATTGGACTGCGTGCGCACACTGGGAGCGCTGGTGTGTGTTTGCGTCTTGGTGCGTAGACCCCACAGATAGTGGCGAACGTAGAGCAGCTGTCTGTAGATGCTGTCCTCGACGCACTCGCTGTCCAGGTCCACTCTGAAGCCAGAGCTGGGCAGCACGATGGGTGGATGGTTCTCAAAGCTCTCCAGGAGGTCGACTAAACACAAAAACTGATGTTAACAAATATGCACAACATCTAATGTCAGCATTTCTCTATCGGTCTGTTCTTCTGGCATGCAGGTTATCATCCAGATAATAGCTTCATTTTTTTTTCAGACATGTATCATGTTTTGCTTTCAGAAATATTTTAATAATAGTAGCACCATAAGCTATTGTTACAAAGTCAATGCCACTAACTGCATTTATTTAGACATCATGAAACTCACAAGCTGCAGTTTAACAACACGAGGAGTTTATGTTGCAATCCTTTTATCAATGTTTCTGACTAAAACCAAAAGACTTACCTGTTCTGTAAACATACGCCTCATCCTCGCTGCTGGGCTGCCACATAGGGACAGGGCCTATCTCTGCTGTGAGCTGGTACTGAGTGAGAATCCTGTGGAGCTGGACTGGTTTCAGACTTGGGTGCTCACTGGACAACACACGCCAACTCAGCTGCAGAGAGAGGAAAAATGAGTCTAGAGTCAAACGACCAGGGATGATGACTGTCAGGCGGTAAACGTTGTTGGCTGTGCTGTGCCCGACAACATCTATCAACGTCACATCGCTTTAAGAAAATCCATTCAGTTTGATGCGTGTGTAAAACAGAGAAAGTGACGCATGATCCCTCATATTTTAGCACTTTAGTACGTTTCTTTAAAATAGTGTTGACTGTTTAGAAGTGATTATAATTGGGTCTTTTTTTTATTTGTTGTGAATATTTAAAGCAAAGCAGGACAAATGCTGAATAAGACTGTAACAGATGTGTGTGTGTCACCTGTGTGAGCTGCTGCGGGGGCGTGGCCACTATGGACACAGTACTGTTGAGTTTTGTAAAGAATTTGTCAGCCAGATGTCCCAGACCAGACTTGGCTGCCCATTCCATGACCATTCTCAAACACGCCTGAATCTGTAGAGCTGTGGAACGCTGAAACCAACCCCGAGGGGGACCTAAACACATGCGCACACACAGAAAAGGAGGGTAATCTTGATCATTTCATCTGAAACCCTGCTGCAGATTTTTATTTGAGGGTGTGTGTCTTGGATGGAAATACATTAATATACAAACTGTGTGCTTATGTTAATGTGTGTGTGTGTTCTATATAACAATTCAGACATTACTTTTTAATGAAGTTGTGATTGAAGCCACTAAGCACCTGCAGAATACAAATGCTCTGCTGCAGAAGGTGCTCAGCGGACTGTGTTTTACTGGTTTTCTATGCAGGGTTGTACAATATTAGAAAAAAACATGACATTACTGTAAAGGATGGTAGCATCATTAACTGTGGTAAACCTATATGTTTTGTCAGTACAGTGCTCACAATACTCTCCATGTGTTGTCTGTGGGCATTTAGTAGACTGGGGGGGGGGGGGGGGGGTTCCATCTGATTGTCAAAATAGTATATTTGCATGCAGTTTGAGTGATGTTTCGGTGGTGAAGGAGATTCAAGGGTGCAGGCGAGAAGCCTGCAGGAAGGTATGATACAAAGACTTTAATCCAGGGGTTCCCAACCCTGGTCCTTGAGGAACACCATCCTGCATATTTTAGTTGTTTCTCTGCTTTAACACACTTGATTCTGTGACGTAATTACTTCCTGAAGCTCTGCAGAAGCCTGTTAATCACCTGTTCATTCAAATCAGGTGTGCTGGAGCAGAGAAGCAACTAAACCATGCAGGATGGAGTTATTCAAGGACCAGGGTTGGGAACCACATCTTTAATCTAAAAAAAAAAAAAGATAAGCAGGCAGGTGACAAGAAAAGAGAAGAAAGCCTCTCCCCTCCCCCAAAAAAGAGGCCCAGGGCAGAAACATGTGAGGCTTTGACTACAGCTGCCTCAGCCAAAGGAAATTTTATACTCTGGGATGCATGATTGGTGATTAAGAACAGGTGAGCTAATGAGCAGCTGAATCACAGGTAATAATAATAAAAAAGCACTAAAATAATTCAAAAAGACAAAATGACTAAATACCACAGAAACCCTACAAGTGTGGAAGTTTGAGCCTGCAGTTTTTTTAATCCTTTGCAATTTTGATACTGCACATGCTGATGTTGCAATGTTGATTTTATTTAATGAACAGCCCTAAACTGTATCAAAGAACTTAATTAATAGTTCAGTGGTAATTTGAGGAAGGACCAATTTGTTAGGTTAACATCACCTTACTGGAGTTGCTGTCCTAATGCTTACTGAGAAACATTCAATAGAAAGATTGGCTCTAAAATAGCGATGCATGATATTAGATATTTGGCTGATATCCGATATGCTGATATGTTAAAACTTATTTGGCCGATAACCGATGCAGATACCGATATTTTATATACTTTCCTTTGTCAGAACATTGCCCTCTTATTTAGGCTTATTTTCTACAAAAAATATGCAACAGTTGTAGGAGCTGGTGACATATATTCAGTAACAGCCATATGCATAGCACTTTAACTTATTTTAAATGAAAAGTGTTAAATATTATTTATTAGCATTAGTCACCTGCGATGCTGTCTCACATGTGGAGGCTTGTTCCAGGTTCCTATAGCTGCAGTGTGAGATCCTCTGCACTCCTGTGCATGAAGCACAGCCTTTATGTTTAAAGTTTTTGTCTATCCATTGTGCTGTAAGACTAATCATGCTAACGAGGCTAACACGACGTCCAAATGTCTGTGGTGAAACTCACCCAAGTGCTATTGACTACTAGCTTCTCAACGATGTTGGAAATGACGGCTAGTTACTCGGGTAAGGCTACGTCAGAAAAATATCTCTGACTGGGGACGATGTAGTGATGAAGTGTAGTCCAAAAATCTTCAGAATCTGATATCTTCAACAACAAGAAAAAAAACCTTCCACAGCACCGACATTTTGACTTCTTCCTCTCTGGTGTGATGAGATCAGGTAGGCGTGCGTGACGTCATCACATTGTGCTGCCGCTGCAGGCATCCTTGTCACTGGGTTGTCATACAAAAACAGCGCCTTTTATATCGGTGAGTTATTTTGATGGAATGGCCGATGTCCGATATTGAACTTTAAAGCTGATACTGGCTGATATCGATACCATGCCGATAATATTGTGCATCCCTACTCTAAAATGTTTCGATGCCAGCAGATGTTTGATGACTCAAATGTTTTTTCCTTAGATCTTCAGTTACCATTAAAAAAATGCTAGAACCTGATTTCCACTGGCATGAGTGGTGTATAAGTGTATAATGTATAAGTTGTTAGTTCACTAGTTGTTGCCTTTTTTGCAACATCTCAGAGTTTAGCTTGTGTCACCTATCAGCTCTGTAATCTCTGAATTCTGTTGACCTAATTTACTATATTCCTGTAAGTACAACACCACATAAATGTCATCTGTTTCATGCAGGCCTGCAGCTGTTTTCATCACTTTTAGTTCCTGGCACTTTAAAAAAAAATCATAACCAATTACCGGTATGCATCCAGTCTAGGATTAATTATAGACTAAGAGCACATCGCCTAAGAGTTTCAGAAACTAAAATATTTGGCCTTTCAGTAAGGTTTGCTTATTTAAAACTTATGTAACGTCTTACAAAATTGTCTATTAGAAAAAGACTGGACAAAGAATCAGCACTAAACTGCAAACATCCTGACATTATGACACTAAACAAGTGACTATGAGTCAGGGAGACAATAAACTGGGAGCATTATCTGCTGACTGCGCACACACACGCATCCCTGACTATATTCAACCATATGTTCTGGATGCACACACACACTCCTCCAAGTAATAAGCTTATGTCTAGGCATACAGTAATCTAAGTTTGAAGAATTTCAAACAGACGAGACATCACACAGCCTCCTGTCAAAGTGTGATAATGCTTCATAACAGTTGTTTACAAACACAAGCACACACCTACACTGCTTTAAATATACTAGGGTCAACAGCCCAAACTAAAAAAGTTGTTTTCAGCACAAGTATGTGACATACAAGATGTCACAGCATATCACGGCCCACCTTCAAATCCAGTTCAAAATACTCCTGTATGTCTATAAATTGCTGAACAGTTCCCCCCCCCCCCCCCCCCCCCCCCCCCCCACCCCATATGTCCACCACGTTCCCTGAGGTCAGCGGACCAATTGCTCCTCACAGTTCCAGGAACTCGTCTTAAGTGCAGAGGTGACAGGGCCTTCTCTGTAGCAGGACCAAGACTTTGGAACGAGTTACCTCTGCTTGTCAGACAGGCCCCCTCCCTCTCAGTTTTCAAATCCCTTTTAAAAACTCACTACTATTCAGTAGCTTTCAACACCAAATGATCTGTGTTGTGAACCTGTATGCTCCACACTGGTTTGTCATCATATTTATTATCTGCATCGTTTTTATGTCTATTTTTGATTTACTTAATTTTGTATATTGCTTTGTGTGCTGTCTGTTGTTCTGTCTGTACAGCACTTTGGTTGGCCTTGTCGCTGTTTAAAGTGCTCTAAAAATAAATAAAATGGTATGGTAAAAATGGTATGGTATCAAAACACCGCTCATAATTTTAGTTTTTTATTTGCTGAGCTATAAATATAACATGATGTGTGTTGTTTAAGGAGTAGCTGAATGTGAGTAACTGTGTGTGTGTGTCCTTGTTTATGCTACTTTGTAAGGCCCATTTTTCCAACTTATACTAATTTGCGAGGACCAACTGCTCCTTATGGGGCCCAAAGCCCGGGCCCCATAAGAAGAAGTCCCGCTGGTGGGTTAGGGGTTAGGTTTAGGACTAAGGTGTGAATTGGGGATGTGTTAGGTTTAGGGTAAAGGTCAGGGTTAGGCTATAGAAATTAATGAAAAATGAATGGGTCAATGCAAAGACCCCATAAAGATAGCAAAACAAACCTGTGTGTGATGTGTGTGTGTGTGTGTGCTTTGTGAAGCATCCAGTGCAAACGTCAGCGATACCTGCCACAAACTCACTTCCTTGTTTCCATGGACACAGTCAGCAGAGAAATATCAATGAGCGACAAAAAGGGGAGTGAAGGAGGAAGAGAGAAAGCCAGACAGACGGAGCGAGGGAGAGGGAGGAGGTGAGGATGACATGGAGGACACTGTAGCTCCTGCATGAATATAAAGTTATTATTGATTTTCCCTTTACCAAACATGTCACCTCTCGTCTCCACTGGTGAATAAAGACACCTGAAGTGTTGTACTGTGTGTTTTAGTGAATGTGCCAGAAACTAGGAGGTGAGTCGGCTGAACATGTGGAAATGTTGTTGGTAGATTACTCTTATGTACTTTGATTGACAACACAGTTAGTAAGATCATCAAACAAGTGAACTTGCTCTCGATCCTTTTTCACTCTTCACACCTCTTAATTCCCTCTGCTCTTCATTGTCTTTGCCCCCCAATAGCCAGATGGAAAGAAGGAAGGTAAAAAAGAGGAGAAGGAAAAGGAGGGGGGTAAAATAGAATGCAGATAGGAGAAGGGCAACGAGGACAAATCTGGGTTAGTCCCTGTCAAAATGCTGACATGTACTCAAGGGCGCACACACAGTCTCTCTCTCTCGTACACTAATAAATCCAGTGGGAGATGGAATGGAAAGGAGAGTGGGACGCTGCTTTTTTTTTTTTTTTACCTTTGTCCATTAACTGATTCAATAGTGACACATTGGAGAAGAAAAAGAGGTAAGCAAACATCTGAGCCTGGATCTCTGGATGGACCAAGTAGCCCTGCAAAAGCTCCTGCGCACTCTGAAACACCTGCACACAAAGAAATACTACCATTATAAAATACACAGAGGTACTAATAGCTTCATGTAATAACACATGCAGCCTTTTCTTAAAATAATAAACATGAAGATCAGCACCCTTACAACCACTTCCCCAATACTAAGTGGACCCGTGGCAAAAGAAAGACACTTTGCTGTCCTTTCGTGACATGTATGCCAGACGTATGGAGTCCCGTTGTTCCTGGCTTTAGGACATTTGCAGCACATTCTTTGGGTTTTATGAGTTTCAAGGTGGGATTTATTTTATTTGTAAATGGATTGTACTTATATAGCACCTTTCTATCTTATCCAGACACTCAAAGTGCTTTACACTACAATCTGTGTCCTCATTTACCCATTCACACATCACTTTACTAGATCTCTACAAAGCTAATTGAACAAATCATTCTAAATATACTAATCAGATCTTTAGATCACATTCATACACCAATGGGACACACATCAGAGGTAGTGAGGGATTCAGTGTCTTGCCCAGGGACACTTGGACATGTGACTACTGATGGATCTGAACCCCCAACTCTTGCATTGGAAAACGACTGCTGTAACCACTCAGCCACAGCTGCCACAAATGGTAAATGGACTGTAGTTATATAGCACCTTTCTATCTTACCAATATACTCAAAGCTTTTTACAACACAAATCGTTGGTTACGTACTGTAACCCCAGATTCAATGAGTATAGGCGTAGCCCTTTAAGACTTTTGCTAGTGGGTTTATCCCTTTGTGCGCAGCACTGAAAACTTTAGTCCACGTCCACCTACTGTGTGGGCCTCACCCTCGGTCCGTATAAATTACGGTGAGACTGGGTAATCGGCTCCCAAATAGCTTTTTTCTTCAGCCATTTAGGAACCAGTGAGGCCCAGAGCTTAAGGGCTACGCTTATACTAATAGAATTTGGGGTTACAGTATGTAACCAACGTTCTATTTCGTCAAGGCTTCGCCCTTTAAGATTTTCGCTAGTGGGTTAAAGGCGAAGCAGGATGTAGTCTATGCCTCACTGGGTCCACTCAGACACAACATGAAGCACCTGCTTGCACAAAAAACATTTCATCACTCAGCCTTCTGTGTGCGTAATTATGCGCTGCGTAATTGCGTGCTCCATGCGCAGGAGTGCACCGGAGAAGATCGCTGGTGAGGAAAAAGGCTGAGATAGCAGACCTGTTGCTGTGCGAGTAGCAGCCCTCCACGGAAAAGCATTCAGCGAAGCTGCTGCTAACATCACCTTTTTGAGGAAATCATTCGATTACCGCAAGGAAAAAACACGTTTGAAAAGGCTATGGCGTTGTCCAGCAGGTATCGACCCGCCATGGAAAAACATTCAGCGGGGCTGCTGCTAACATCGCCTTTTTCAAGGAAATCATTCGATTACCGCAAGGAAAAAAACACATTTTAGAAAAGGCGATGGTGTCGTCCAGCGGGTAGCGGCCCACCACGAAAAAGCACTCCTCGGCACTTACTTTGAATAAGGCTGTTCGGCTGCTTCTCCTCGGGGAGGAAGAGCTCACTGGGATGGCAGGAGGTTGGCGTGGCAGAGACCCAGGCATCCTTAGCAAAGGTTGTGCCGGCCAAAGCTGGACAACTTTTCCTTCTTCTGACAGTGCTAGCTAGCTGGCTGAAGAAAAAATGGGAGCCGATTACCCGGTCTCACCGAAATTTATACGGACTGGGGGTGAGGCCCACACAGCAGGTGGGCGTGGACTAAAGTTTTCAGTGCTGCGCTGCACGCGAAGGGATAAGCCCACTAGCGAAAGTCTTAAAAGGGCGAAGTCTATACGAAATAGAACTGTGTCCTCATTTACCCATTCATACAGCACTCTACTACATCTACACAAAGACTAATCAGTTCTTTAGATCACACTCATCCACTGATGGGACACACATCAGAGGCAATTAAGGGTTCAATTCAATTCAATTCAGTTTATTTATATAGCGCCAAATCACAACAAAGTTGTCTCAGGGCACTTTACAGAAACATTCACATACATAAAAGCCAATTAGTAAAGGGTTCAGTGTCTTGCCCAGGGACACTTCAATATGTGACTGCTGGTGGAATCGAACCCCCAACTCTTGCATTGGAGGACGACTGCTCTAACCACTCAGCCACAATCGCAACGAGTTGACACTCTTATTTGCATAAAACATGGCCTTATATGCATAACTGTCTTTTACAGGCGATCTTGTGTACAGTAGTCTCTCGTTTATCACGGGGGATTCGTACCCTGAAGCCCAGTGATGAGTGAAAAACCGAAGTAGGAATTGTAGTACAAGTAGTAAAAATAGTAGTTTATTTTAGTATATATAAATGTGTTTTAAACCCTTCACACACTCTTGCAATATTCTAAACAATGTTTCTAAACTCTAAACGCTCTAAAAGAGCCACAGAATGTCATGATTTCAGCCACCTGCTCTTGGCCACGCCCACTTCTCCACTGCAGTGCGGAAATATGAGGAGGGAGCATCTCCGCAGCTGTGGGCTGCACAAAGACCTGTGCACCTGCGCAGGAGGTGCTAAATAATTTAAAATAATTTATTTTAAATAAAAATTCCATGCTGATCGTGTGGCTCATCCATCAATCAGTCAATTGTGTGTCATGTCCAATCTTACTTTGAAAATCCATGATTGAGCGAATCCGCGCAAAATGAACCACGAAGTAGTGATGGACTGTACATGCATATCAAAAGATAACTTCTGTTTGACTCATAGGCTGATGCATTCTCATTTACAGCCATTTACACAAATAAAATGAATTCAAATGTCGCATGTATTCATTTCCATTATAAACAGTGGTGGAGAAAGTACTCAAACACTGTACTTAAGTAAAAGCACAAATAATCAGACAAAAATGTACTCTAGTAAAAGTAGAAGTACCACATTAATTTTTTTACTTAAGCAAAAGTAAGTACTTGCTTTTAAAAATACTTCAAGTATTACAAGTAAACGTATTTGCTGAATGTATTACCTAATGCATGGTCTACAATATCATTAAGTGTGCCTACTGTATGTATATTTTCTGTAATACATTAATAGAGTTGAGCCATTTTAATGAACGATGCTGCAGATAATACATGTTTTTATTGTGTTTACTCTGTGACACAGTTCACACTTGGACTTGTGATTCTTCAGAATTTCAGGGATGACCTGCAGAGTTAAAGTTCATGAAACAAAATAAGAGGAATGATTTTACCTTTGAAAGTTTTTATTTAACACAAACCAACGTGTCATTTTAACTGCAGTAAAAACATTTAAGCAAAAGTTGTCTGTTTGAAAAAAGGAGCATTAGACCTAACAAAGGAACAGGCTCTGATCATTTCAACTCCAGTTTGTCATCAACTCTAGTTAAAATACTGTCTATTCAACCTTGTAATGGGTCTATATTGAACAATATTTTAACTTCCTGTCACCTTTTTCAAAACTTGGACCTGAGTATCGAGACATTTGGAGACATGTCTTGTCTCCTAACATCCCATGAACTGACACATTTTAATATTGCAGCAAGAATTCCTTGTTCAAGTTCAGAAGAAGTTTGTTTTCAAAGTTTTTTGAGTCCAGTCTGGCTCTTTTGGGAGATAAAATCTGTCCAGCTGTACTGAATAGTCTTTCAATAATCTTTCAATAGTCTTTCAATAATCTTTCAACAATTTTTCAATAAGGCCAGGGGTTGTGCATATCTTCTGGCTGACTCTCCGCGGTGGAATCCATTTTGGGTGTGTTAGCGGTGCTGTGGGCGCGCCCAGCTCAATGACGTATATACTAGAATATACGTCACTGGCCCAGCTCTTCTTGAAGACGGGTCTAACTTTATCTGCACATTTTACAGTGATTCAATGGACCAACTCCCCTCTCACCATTGGTTACTTTCAAACTAACGAACAAATAAAAAAAAAAACACAACGTGAATGTAACGTGTAATACAATGCATTGTAGAAATGTAGTGCAATAGAAAGTACAGATACTTAATGTCAAATGTAGTGGAGTAAAAGTCGAAAGTATCCACCTTTAACTCTACTTAAGTAAAGTACAGATACATGAAAAATGTACTTAAGTACAGTAGTGAAGTACTTGTACTTTGTTACATCCCCCCACTGAATAAATGACACACTAACTCAGCTGTGATAAACGTACTGCCTTTAATCTATTTCTTAGTGAATGAGAAACATAATAAAATGTTTTGATTTTCAAAAAAGCTGTTGGGACTCAGACTGACCAAACTCAGAGTTTCAGGTCTTAGTTGGTGCTACATAATATTTGTGTCCGAATGTTCAGCTCCATGTCAAAATAAAACAAAGGTTTGTAACTAGCCACTATTATTAATGAAGATAAATGAAAACAACCTTTATTCAACATTTCTGTATGCAAAATTTAAAAAAGCATAGTGAGGCAAAGAGATGGATTTTATGTGTCTTTCACAATAACCTATGCCTACCTGCAGGACCCTGCGCACGGGTTCAGGAAACCCGACACCTCCTTTCCAGCAGGGCTCAGAGCTGTCGACTGGAAATGGATTGCAGTCCAACAAACCTGGCAACACCACATAAAGAGCCTGGGCACACGCACAGAAACACAAAACAGAAATGTGTCAAAATGAAACTACAGAACAATTTAAGAATTTTTTTCCTCTCATCTAGCTATCCACTAATTAAATCAAACCTTCGGTATGAATAATTGTTATTATTCATCCTGTTTAATTTTAAAACCACAAAAACAACGGCCTCCCTTTTAAAGACTATGGCAACGTTGCCACAGTGATGGATCACCTTAGTGATATAGTAGACACATTGCTGAAAAGTGTACATGATCACTTCTTCCAAGATAGTCATAGCCTCCTCATTGGCTGTAATGGTCGCCGATAGCAACGACTCCTTTGACCCTAGAAATAGATGACAGAGACATACTTAAGAGGTTTACAGTGAAAAGCAAAGCCTAAAACTGTGACATCATCTCCTGCATGTCAGTGTGAGTAACGACTCTTAACTCAGGTTGTTTCCACACTCATCGTTCAGACTTTATGTGCGGGTCCGTGTGTGTGTGTCTGTGTGTACCTTGCAGCGTCTCAATGCTGTGTGTGTAGGCTGGAGCTCTTTGCTGGATGAAGTAGAGGATCTCTACGGAGTTGGACATCCAGAAAAAGATAGTCTGCAAATCTGGAATCAAGTCTGAGATGCTCAGCAGAGACAGGGAGGCTGGGTCCTGACTACATGGACACACACACACACACAACAAGGTGACTGGTTAAAGAGTTGGGTAGACAAACTGACACAATCAGCACAGCAGAGTACACACTACAGTACAGAGTACACATGCTTCAATTATTTCCATTACAAGTTAGAAAGTGATACTCACTGCTGAGCCTGCTTCTGAGCCAGCTCCTTTGTCTTCTCCTGAAAAATGCACACACACAGACCAATTAAGTTCCCATTAAACTTTTAGCAACTGCGTAGGTGAACTACACTTCATGATGCCTTTGCTACTTATGAAGAGAACACCACTACCATTTACACAGCCCAGGCAATCTCAGAATATATTGTGTTCTGCTGGTGCTAGTGGTAAAAGAAACCCTGATGTGTCTTAACTCGTTCAGACTGAAGGTTACATCGAGCCATGGAAACCACAGTGGTTTCACAGGTAAAGTAACAGTATCAGCCTAAAATAATATGTTTTTATGTACAAGAGTCATTGAAAATAGCAAGTAATAAATATAACTTCATTTCTAAATAGAAATCAGAACATAAAATGGCTGATTGTTGCATCAGTGAAGGGGCCATAAAAGCAGAAATGTGCGAGCTCATTACTGTTGAAAGATTTATAAAGCTGCATACAAAACAGTATTAACTAACTCCAGTAAGTAGTAGTAATAATATGTAAGAGGATTTGAGCCATGGTGCAAAACATTAACGTGACGAAATAAGTAGGTACATATTTTATTTTCTAGTGCAAATCTATGGTGGCCCTAAGGTGTAAATGAACAACATTTGAAACAATGGAATCACATTTGAAAAAACGGAATTACATTTGAAAAATAAAGTTAATAAACAACAACAACAACAACAACAACAACAACAACAACAACAATAATAATAATAATAATAATAATAAATAAATAATAAAGTTAATAAAGTTTATTTTTTAAATTTCCTGTTTAGCTTAATGTCATTCCGTTTTTTTAAATGTTGTTCATTTACACCTTAGGGCCACTGTACAAATCTGAGACATTTGAAACAGAAACAAGGTATTAAAAGAGTAGACTACTTTTTTTTTTAAACAATGAACAGTAAAAATATATCCGAACCAATTGGTTCTCTAAATCAAGAGTAAATGTCATTGTAAAAGTACAAACACAAATAAAATAAAATGACTGGGCTTCAATTCAATTCAGTTCATTTTATTTATATAATGCCAATTCACAACAGAAGTAATCTCAGGGCACTGAACAGAAACACTGATATACATAAAAAGTATGTAATGACTATTTATCTGAGGAGCAGACTGTTTTGAGTTTAACTTCATCGTAGACTCTTGTCTCAGCTTTTCAGCAAAAACAGCAGGGCTACAGTTCACACAGCTAAAAACTGCACAATAAATCATGATCTGTATATTCTTGATTTTTAAATTCAAATTAGTAAACTCTTCTAAAACTGAAAGAACTGACACCTTTACTCAGGACTGTCATGAATGAATTGAAATTATATCAACCACGGAGGGGGAGAGGGTGGACTCCAGAAACCATCTTAGCACCATCAAACTGGTTGACCCTCTATGAGAAGGTGCTATTTATAAGACTGAGTTTGTTGTGGCTCCTCAGACTGATGAAGTCCTTTGGATGAAAGACTAAAAGTTTCAACAGAAAGAAATCGTCCAGAGGACTTGACTTAACTTTGTTGGATTTTTCTACCTGGATTATTGAGCATGAACTTTGATATATCAGTCACAATTATCTAAACTGTAGCTGTTACACCACTTCTGTTTAAATATGACAAATTATTTTCCAGATGATAATCTACCAGGTGGGATTGTTTTTATTGTTGTTGCCTGGTAGAGAAAATGACTTATGATCTCTGTAGTGTAGCTCTCTTAAGCTGATATAAAAATATATATTTTAAACTATGTTAAAAGTGATTACTTTAGCTTTACAGTTCATATTTGTATTGTACATATTTTACAATCTTGATACTTTTCCTGGTAATTAACGCTAAAATCAAAAAGTTCTTAATGCAAAAGAGCCTTCCATATGACTCCAAAGAAATTTGAGGCTTCTCATCCAGTGATATTTACATGCTATTACTTGTATCTTTAATTAATCTAAAACAGTCACACCATTCACAATTTGCCCGTTTCATCACAGCTGTTGTTCATTAAGTGTGTAAATACTCTAAATTGGTGATAACAAATGTGCTCTAATTACCATTAGTGAAAGTTATGAAACTCTAAAAGAAGGAAAAATGTCGGAGAGCAACCATTAATCTAAATATCTAAATAAACACATAGGTCATGGTTACTTCTCATCCAGTTACAGTAATGACACTTTCCTTTAGGTGGAAAATTTTTCTAAGAAGAAAGACAGTTAGAACCCAGTATGGTGTGTGTGTGTGTGTGTGTGTGTGTGTGTGTGTGTCCGTGTGTGTGTGTGTGTGTGTGTGTGTGTGTGTGTGTGTGTGTGTGTGTGTGTGTGTG